GGGCCATGGGGACAGGGGCCGTGGGGACAGGGGCACAGTCAGTGGGGATGGACAGGGGCCGTGGGGACAGGGGGATATCAGGGGACAGGGGAAGTGGAGTGCAATGAGGTCATTGAGGGATTTGGGGACACGGGAACACCGAGGAGGATGGGGCACCTCCGGGGCCATGCAGGATCCCAGGGAAAATGTGGGGACATGGAGGACATCGAGGGGACAAAGTGACAACAGGGGGACACTGAGGGTGATGTGGGATACCGGGAGGGGACCAAGGGGAGCCCGGGAATGGCAGGACCAGGCAGGGAGGGGACAGGAACACCTGGGGGACCCAGGGGACACTGACCGAGGCGCAGGTGCTGGCGGGCGACGTGGCCGAGGTCCTCGGGGTGCAGCAGCCGGTACCAGGAGCGACCCAGCAGCTCCGCCCGGCCATAGCCCAGGTGCACCAGGACACTGCCAGACAACACCTCCGGGTCACTCGTCCACCCAGGCAGGGTCACTCCGGACACCTGGGGTCCCACTGGACACCTGGACCCCCCACCCCCAAACCCCTGGACCCCCCGGCCGTGGTGGCCCCCCCGCTCACCTGTCGGAGATGTCCAGCAGGGCGAGGTCGCGGGCGTGGCGGCTCTGGAATGCCGGCAGCAGGAGGCAGTCGGGGCAGGGCCAGGGCGGGGGGTCCAGGGGGGCACAGAAGGCCACGAAGAGCGCGGGGGCGGCCCCGGGGGGCCCGGGGGGCTCCTGGAAGCGCCCCCGCAGCAGCACCAGCTTGCGGCCGGCGCTGGGGCGGCGAGAGGCGCGGGAGGTGGTGAAACGGCAGCGGAACAGGCGCTCTGGGGGAACAGGGGGCTGTTGGTCACTCTGTGCTGCTGTCCGTCCGTCTGTCCGTCCCTCTGTCCTGCTGCCCATCTCTCTGACCGTCCCTTCTGTTCACCCATCTGTCCTGGTGTCCATCCCTCCATCCCTCTGTCCATCTCTTTGTCCAGCTGTCCACCCCTTTGCCCTCCCATTCCTCCCGGACCCCCTGGACACCCCCAAAGTCCCTGGACACTCCGCAGCCCCCGAACCCTCCCAGACCCCCCTGGACCCCCCCGGACCCCCACCCACCTGCCTGGGGGGGCCCGGGCAGGCTCAGCTGGTGCCGCACCAGGGGGTGATCGGCGGGGTCCAGCAGGTCGTAGATGCTGTCCCCTTGTGCCACCAGATCCACCTGGGAGAGGCAGGGAGGGAGGGCGGGGTGAGCCCCGGACCCCCAGAGCCCCCCCGGGACCCCCAGAGCCCCCCCCGGGACCCTCAGCGACCCCCCGGGACCCCCAGGTGCTCACCATGGAGTGGCCCAGGTGCTGCGCCACGTTGTCGGTGACCCCGACCAGCTTCCCCTCGCGGGTCACGGCCAGCAGGAACCCGGGCAGCGACGCCACCAGGTCGGCGAGTTCGGGCCCCCCCAGCAGCTCCAGGGGCGCCCCCCGGCTCGGGCCTGGCGTGGGGACACGTGGGGACAGCGGTCAGTGCCCGCCTGCTCAGCAGCTCCGGCAAAAGCTGTGGCTAAAGCGTCAGCCACGGAGCCGGGTGTGCCCCGGTGTGCCCCCAGCTGTGCCCGGGTGTCCCCAGGTGGCATCCGGAGCCCGTCCCGTGCGCGGCCAGCTCTGGTCGCTGTCCCCATCCCGGTTCCTCTGTTCCAGCCTCCGTCCCTGTCACCAATCCCTGATCCCTGACACCGATCCCGGTCCCTGTCACGCATCCTAATCCTGATCCCGACCCCTGACACCGATCCCCAACCCCGCTCGCCGGTTCCTGTCACCGATCCCGGTCCCCGTCCCGCTGCCCCGCCCGGTCCCCGCCGCTCTCCGTGGTGCTGAACGGGAACTCCCGCCGCTCTCCGCAGTGCTGCACCGGCCCCGCTACCTGCCCGCGGTGCTGAACGGCGCCGGTCCCGGTCCCGCTCCCCGTCCCGCTCCCAGCACGGTCCCCGCTCCCATCCCTGCCTGGAGCCGGTGGCTGCTCCAGCCCCGTGTCATGCCCGGTCCCATCCCTAGTCCTGGTCCTGTCTCAGCCTCATCCTGGTGCTGTTCCCCGGTCAATGCCCGGTCCCCCATCCCATCCAGTGCCATTCCCGGCTCCATCCCCAATCCCATCCCCGATCCTGATCCCATCCTGGTGCTGTTCTCCGGTCCCCGCTCCCATCCCGGTGCCATCCCCGGTCTCGCTCCCGTTCCGTGCTCGATCCCCGCTCCCGGTGTCGGTCTCGTCCCGCTGCCGTCCCCGGTCCCTGGTGCTGATTTCTCTCCCATCCCGGTGCCGTTCCCCGTTCCCCGTTCCCCGCTCCATTCCTGCTCCATCCCCGCTCCCGGTGCCGGTGCCATCCCGCTCCATCCCCGCTCCCGCTCCCGTTCCCGTCCCGCTCCCGCTCGCACCTGGCCGCAGGCAGGCTCCCTTGCGGGTGTAGATGCAGGCCAGGGCCATGACGTGCAGGTAGGAGAGGCGCGGCCGGTCGCCGTCGGGCAGCGGGAGGAGGTCGCGCAGGGCGCGGATCTGGGCGTTGATCTGGTCCCGCCGCGCCTTGGAGGCGCCTTTGGTGGAGCGGAGCATCCTCCGCCCGCCCGGGCCCGGCCCCGCCGCTTTATGCGGCCCCGGGCCCGCGTCAGCGCCGCGTCACCGGCCCCGCGCCGCCCCGAAACCGGGGGGGACACCGGGGGGGGACGGGGACACGCGGGGGGACGCGGCGGG